TTCGCTTATCCCGGTATATCTCTCTCCATCCTTCTCATTATCGTTATCTCTGCCTCCGCTTCTCTTCCCTCCCACTCCATTCCCCGCGTTTTGTTCGGTCGTTCGTCTACGGCGCTCCTCCCTACTCTGTCGAGTCCGGCCTTGGGGGGCTCGTCTCGCGGGCCCGCGGCACTGGCCCCATATAATGTTTCATTAGTGGGCACCATTAGCACTGGCAGAATCTTCAGTGTGGCATAGCAAGCGGCGACAACCAGGATTGATGGTCCACCACAAAGTTCTGTCCTGCCCTATTCTGAGTATGATGATTGAAAGCGGGTCATGCAATATACATGTGCGGAGATTTGGCCGCGGGCAGCGAGCCTTGGGCGGTTGCTGGCGTGTTGTATGTGGCACATGCAAAGAACAGATTCTAAATCGTACGCTTAAAGGGAATGCTCTGCGCTTGAAGATGGAGAAGCAAGCATGATATGATGAAACGAGCTCATTTATAACCATTAACGAATTTTTAAGTGGAAAATGCTGCTTTAGACAACGCAGCTTGTCTGTTAGGTAAATATGTTACTCAATACGTCGTTATTTGTTTACTTCAGCGTACCTTACACCGCATGGATTAAGAGCCAATTGACGGCCGTTATATCTGGGGAGCGTGCTTACGAACGCCAGATGTGAACGATTTGACAAATACATTTGTCTCGGCCTTGATCTCCGCATCACCAATACAATGACAGGATTTGGATAATTTTATTTTGCTTTGATGGATGCTTGGGTGACCTTGAAGAAGTCTCCCGAAAAATCCGCACGTCCTCGCGGGCGTATAACCCAGAAACTAGAATGTTTTAGGTCTCATTTAGGTTTTAAGAAAGGCGAAGCTGTGAATTGCACGAAGGATGTTCGAGATTGCTATTTCCGTTTAAGACTCCATACAAGTGTGGAACACTCTTTTACGCGATCCCCGAATGTAAATACTTTTCCACCAATGCTGCTGAAAAAATGCCATGGAGCTGTGCCCCTAGCTTGTCAAATGTATTTTTAACTCGACACCTTTGAAGTAACTGTATCATTTTGTATCAAAATTTAGTAGTTTATCGCTAACGGCGACCAAATGAAAGCATCCTTTTGATATAATACTTCGTATCTCCCTTTCCTAAGCGTCTACCGCTAACTCATACCTTGGGTTGGTAGAAAAACAGATTTCAGAGCGCTGTTGTAAAACAGAGGACTATATCTTTGGGCAAACAGAATGGTATCCACTGTACGACATGTGTAACGACTTAGGTCGGTCGCACGTTTGGATAAAATTACGGGCATGGGCGTGGGTACGGGTAAGACATGTACAAAACGTTGGATAGATATCTCCAAAAATGTTACACATGGTAATTACCTGCACTTCTTTAAGTCGTCATTAAATCCCTTCACACCGCTCTTTGCGATTACGGATTTGACAGAATAAGTTGAGGCTTGAGTTTTTCGAAACAGTTCCATAATTTAGAACTAAATGACATTTCACCTGAAAGATCAAGTTTCAACGTGCAGATTAGGATAAAAAAATAGCGAAGTACGTGCCGTTTGGCGAGTTTTGTTGCGATTGCGAGGCATATATCTTTATGCCTTTTCCCACAATTTCTGTAGTCTGGTAGCTAGCGATGCAGGCTTTCGTCCCTGCACTTAGCGGTCGAGCACGCCATTTACAAGACACCAGCACATGTGGGTCATTATCGATTTTGAAGTGCGTTCGTGTGCAGGGGACGTGGTGGAAGCATTTAGCCAGAAAGATGAACATTGACCAAAGGCAAACGCCTTTAGTTCAAACGCCTTCTAATGTTCAAATGCCTGTTATGCAGCGATAGCTGTTCATATATGTGTTTCATGCATATCGCAGCCATTTTAAAACTGACATGTCAAACCAAACACCCTGTGGAGTGCAAGATGAATGTTAACGGATGGGCAACTAAGAGCACATGCGTTTTAAAGGGATGTAAAATGGTGATGCAACGGATAGCACTGCTTTGACCCAAACGTGCACGCGTAGATTGCACCAATAGAGTGACAACCTGAGTTATACCGCATGCAAAACACTTCCCCAGCTTTGTAGCACTAGGGTGCCCACGATGAATTGCAGTTTTGATTAAGAGCTTTCCCCTCCGAGGTGACCATTGCACCATCACTCATTGCAGTGAACGTCCGGATGATAACTCCAGCTACCGACTCTCGACCGACACGCCCCGAAAGCGCGGCTTCCAGGGGAGCTCCCTCTCAGAGATCGCTCGGCTGCCCCCCTTTGGGCTCAATCCGTCCTGAGTGGACGGCACCACCCGCCGGTGAAACAGACATTCGATTTTCGGTAATTAGCAATCTCCGCGCCGGTGGTCGCATGTCCCTGGCAGAAAGCTTGCGCTGGTGGCACGTGACAGCAGGAAAATTGAGGCGGCGCCGATCCATTGCGAACAGGAAGGCAGTGCTGGGAGCGACGCCGACCAGAGACAGTTAATTCCCGCTCCCTCTCACTCCCTTTCTCTGGTCCTCCCCCCTCCCTCCCCACTCCTTTTCCGTTGAATTGCCCCTACCTTGTACTTTTCACTTTTTATCTTGTTCTTTTGCATTTTCTGCTATTAATACAACTACTGCGTCTCTCTACCACCTTATCTTTCTAACCTAGGCTCCGTTCGTTTGTCTCCTTGAATTCTCCTATCCGTTGCCGGCTAAGTGTGTTGTAAACACAATCGGCTTTAGTGTTATCGTTTTGTTTTGGTGTCACGCAGCCAATTTCACTAAATGCCCCTAAAGTTATATGTGTGTGTTTATGTGGCTGGAACGCGTGGCTGCTACGGAAAACTCAGGTACCTCTCACCTTTGCCGTGGTGATTATCCGTGACGCCTTGATGTAAGCAGGACAGCCATTGATCTCCTGGCTTTTTGGCATGGTTTGTTGAGTTGGAAAAACGTATGCTGGCAACAAGTCAGCCCTCCGTAGACCAGGAGGTATCAGTTAAAGTACTATGAGGTATGGATATGTGCATATTAAAAGCAAGTCACAAAACTGGAAATTTTGCCAACTTACAGTCCTGTCAATATCGCCAGTGCTTCCTTGTTGACATCGCTTACCCAGCATCTCCTGGTACATGGTAGTTCGATCATTGTCAGAATAATAATTACCAATTCATAACATTTGTAATGACTGCGTTAAGATCCATAATACATTCAAAACTTGTGGAGACATTGCAACTACGTTACAACTGATAGCGCATTGAAGTTCATAATTATGTTGATGTTAGTTAAGCTTTCGAGCAGAGCGTATTGGTACTGGGATGTCCTTAACCAATGTGGCATGCCGCCGAAATGGCCGTTGTCGCGGTGAGCAGCTGCCACGCTCGTGGTTTTGGGGAACTCTATAAGACAAAATTTGCTGTGCTCAATCACCAAATGATGCGTAGAGTCGTCCGCAGAAGCATACAATTTGAACTTTGTTTTTCTGGGTGCACAGCTCAACACTTTCTGCCCATCTCCGCTCCCCGATATGCCACCAGAAAGCTAAGTAGCTGAGGAAACAGATTTGGATTTCAGTCACGTGCCAAACGCACACGTCACCGAATGAGCTGGGTGTGTCTACTGCTGTCCGGGCGTTGAACGTCCTGCACAGGATGGATATCTGCTTCGCTCACGACGCGCAGCGGAAGTTCGCGTATCACCGAACACAACAGCTGCATGCTCTTAAACGAACGGGTCTGGTTCGCAGTCACACATAAATCAGCGGCAAACGTGTCCGCAGCGCTAAAACAAATCGTTGATGAAGGGTTTCGGCAGCTCGGGGCCTGAAGTCGGGATGGGATGGCCGCTGTTTGTCTGGGAATTGTAAACTGGCGACGCGGGATGCAGCATCGGACCAGACCATGGGTCTCCATGGCAGATCGTTGGCTTCCGCTGCTGGCACTGGCCGGGCCAGCGAACATAACCATTTCCTGTCGGTGATGCAATCCATCTGACAAGACTCAGGGATCTGAAAACGCATCGGTGGAAACGGTGTGGGTAAACTCGCGCTCGCGTTCGATCTCGTGTGCTCCATCGGAGCCGTTGGTCTGTGGCTAGCATATGCTCCATCGGAGCCGTTGGTCTTTGACTGGCATATGCTCCATCGGAGCCGTTAGTCTATGGCTGGCATAAGCTCCACCGGAGCCGTTAGTGTATGGCTGGCATATGCTCCACTGGAGCCGTTAGTCTATGGCTGGCATATGCTCCATCGGGGCCGTTGGTCTTTGACTGGCATATGCTCCATCGGAGTCGTTAGTCTATGGCCGGCATAAGCTCCACCGGAGCCGTTAGTCTATGGCTGGCATATGGTCCACCGGAGCCTTTAGTCTATGGCTGGAAAATGGTCAAACTGGAGCCGTTAGTTTGTCTCTGTCTGCCCCAGGCAGGGATTATCGATCTGGTTTTGACAAATCTAAAGTCACGACTGGTCGTGAACTCGTCTTGCCCGTTGTTTCCATGACGCGTCTGCTCGAAAAGCAGCTGTGTCTCCATTCGAAATGTGTTGAATATCAAGGCCAGACGTTCTTTTCATGGAAGACGTCACTATCTGTTCAGACATCTGTACAGCAAAACTGTAACAAAAACTTTGAGAACTTGACGTTGCATGCGTGTCCTCTCTAGTTTAGTAGGCGTCTGACAAACACTATAGTAGTGACTTATGAAATAATGGTCTCTTTAAGACGGCTTAAAACAACAGATGTTTTAATTTTGTGTAATTGGTGTCAATTCTGTATGCACCAAGAGCATGCAGGTAAAGCCAGCTGTCTATGTGGCCCCGATGTGTGAAACCGCCCACGTTTTATATCACCCTCATCGGATTGTTTATAACTGAAGCTAACTAGTTATCGTTTTATTCAATCAAATATGAATGCTGATGAGTCTGACCAGCCTGCCAATTACAGCGAGTAGTCATGTTTTCACGATCCATTGCCCGCCGCTGTACTGAATGAACTAATGCACCGGTATGTTTTCAGAATCTGAAGGATCAGATCTTGACTACGAACGTGTGGGTGGAACATGTAAGTAACATTTGTTTCACAACCCGCCTTCAGTGCATCCCGGGGTTTTGTGATTCAATCATGTGCGCATGATGCGTTATGGCGAATGGTGCATGACACATTGGAAACGTAATGAAAACTTTGACGTATTCTATGCAGGCCCAATCACTCCTTCAGATGTACAGGAGTGAGGACGACATCGCAGTAATAAAAAATACATAAGTCATCTCATCCGTGTATCCCACCAATGGATTTAGTCCATTCATATGTGCGGTATCTCATTGTAATGCAAGGGATGACAGAGATTTGTACTGTTGGGTTCTTGCCACATATGTAAGGTGGCATTTTGCACTCAACCTTGGCACGTTGCGAGGCGTGTTGAGCGAAGAAGTCGGCTCCTAACGCGCCACGTCTCAGAAGTCGGACAATACGGTTCCTTTGGTTGAAGTAACTGCAGACGCAACCAGTTCGGCACAGTGAAGGTGTTTGAAGGCCGCTGCTTAATTGCGTAACTTACCGACTTATAACACTTGTGGTTAATGTGCTTTCACTGTTTCCCCATTTTGCTCAAAAGAATACATAGAATACTTTGAATTAGCCTTGCTTAAAGCGTAAGTTAGCTAGAGATGTCACGAGCACATCTCGAGATAACCTGTTTATCTTTAAAGCAGCTTATCACCTATTGTTCCTGGCACACTACAATGATGGTGCAATTCCTTTACGAAGCTCATCAGTCATATGGGACTGCCATTTCCTCCCCCACGTCGTACGTCGTGGTAGCGCAATTGCCTATGTATTCGTAACATACTTCACTCACGCGCTGCTTACTCTGGCAATATTCCACGTCATAATGTCAAATTTGTAGCCATTCAGGAAGGGAAAAAACTCCACGCTTCTTCCTAAGCATCTCTTCAGTTTTCCTGATGGCACTTTTCCAAAAACGGCAAGTCGCTCTACGAGCATGTCCGACATTTCCTGAATCAATTCAGCAGCACCAATAAATTTCGATCCCGTCATCACACTGAAACGGTCTCATCAAGACCGCCTCGGGTATCTTATTCAGTGTAATTTCAGCTATATCCTGTGCCAGTCACCCCGCGTCAGGATGCATCCATTTCCTGGGTGGCGGGCGGTCTCGCGTCGGCTCCCGTGGAGGCGACACCGCCTCCTCCCCTCCCCCCCCCCCCCTCCGAAGAGGAGGCTCCGAGCACGTGCCTCGAGTCTAAAGGCGGCTGCCACTGGCGGCGGCCATCGGCGGCTGCCGCTGCGCTAATCCGGCCCGTTTACAGTTGGCTGTTGTCAACAGAGCATTGAGATGGCGGCTCACGGCGGGGTATTTTCAGAGGAAAACTGATCAGGTCCACAGTTGGGCATTAACGTTGGCCAGGCGGGTGTTTTTATCACCTCCAGCCTATGAGAGGCATTACGGCTCTCCTCTCAGTCATCTGCAACAGGGAAATACTTGTACCCCCGAAAAAGATGCAAAACTCCAGAAGATTTTTTGAGAAAAAATTGTAGAGCTTCCAAAGTGTTCTGACAGTTTGTTTTTCCAGATCCTTTTCCCCAGAAGATCCTTCGACATAACTTCCAAAATCCCAAATCACAGGAGATCCTTCCACACAATCTCAGATCCCAAAATATCACAAGATCGTAGATGGCGGAAAGTTCTTCGACATCTTTATGTCGTTTGATGTTTTAAATTAAGCAGATTATGTCATCCGGGCACAAACGTTGACGCTATTTATGCATTATCGTGGGCGGAGAATGTGGTGACTGAAGAGGCAATCATTATACCGACCTTTAGGGCTGAAGTAAGGGATGCAATGTGTTAAAAACAGTTTCCAGACACTGATGCACACACCATGACAAATGAGTTTTTCGTTACTTTTTTTGTGAATGCTACGGCAGAAAAATGAACATTATGTGTGCTCTGTAGTATAACAGCAAGTTTTTTAGGTTATGCTGCAAAATTCAGGTTTAAGAATTGCAAAAACTCAGAAAAGCTCTAAATTTTTTGGCACGAGACTGGACGGTGCCGCACGGGACATGACGCGATGGGACAGGGCTGGACGAAACTAGATGGGACTGGACGAAGCTCGACGGGGCGAGGCGGGAGCAGACGGGACTAGACGGGACTGAACGCGGCAAGAAAGTACCGGCCAGGACTGGACGGATGGACGGGACCGAACTGGACCAGACCCAACCAGACGGAACCGAGCGGAACCATACGATTCTGGAGGGACCGGAAAGAACCAGGTGAGGCCAGATGGGACTAGATGGGACCATACGGTGACAGACGGGACCAGATCGGAGCCTTCTCGCCCAGTTCGGTCCCATCCTGGTCTCGTCAGGCTCCGTCCTGTTCCGTTCAGTTCCCATCAGTAATGCTCCTTACCGTTCGGTTCGATCTCATAGCGTATGGCCTTGTCTGGTCCCATCGGGCTCCGTCCTGTTCCGTTCAGTTCCCATCAGTAACGCTGCTTACCGTTCGGTTCGATCTCATCGCGTCTGGTCTTGTCTGTTCCCGTCGGGCTCTGTCTAGTCCTGCCCGATCCCAGGCCGTCTCCGGTTCCACCCGATCCCATCAGGTCTCTCCAGTTCCAATCCGGTACCGTCCTGTCCCGTCTAGCGCCATCTGGCTCTGTTCGGTCATGTCACGTTCCATCCTAGCCTCATCACGTCCCTTCATGTTTCGTCCAGCCCTGTTCTGCAGCGTCCGGCTCCATTAGGTCAAGTCCCATGCCGTCCGATTCTATCTAATCACATGGCATGCATGTATGACATATAGAGGCCATAAAAGGCTGGTTGGCCAGTAACTCGGAAGAAAGCTGTCTCCCCTCCCTACCCTTACTCCCAAAGATTACAGTCGCACCCATGTGACATAGGGTGGTAAAAATTCATTGGAAAAACCAATGACGTTACTTAAATCTTCGCACAAGCTATCGTTAAGTACGTTCTCATCACCATTTGTTTTCGTACAACCTTGAAACATTGTACTCGTGATGTGTGACGGGTATGTTGATGATTATGACTCAGTATGACTCAGTTAGAGGTAACTGCAAGTACTGTGAAGGTTTGTAACCACGCTTCTGGTCTGGAGAACTTAGAGGAGTACATCGAAGTCACCTGCGTTTACGGATAGATTAATTGTTCGGACTATCGTTCTCGTCGGGTGTGCCAGTTCGTACACAATGTTTCGGTCCGTTGACTCTCCGGCCATCGTCAGGTGTTTCGGAGACCTGGGAACGGCTGGATGCTGCTTCGTAATCCGATATGTATCACCAAACGTCAGCGAATGGCTAATCAGCCAGTCAAACGTTCGCCTGATCTGTGCCATGCCACCACTTATCTTACGATCCTGCCTCGCCACCATCAGTACGTCCAACTACTTACACAGCAACCGCACAAGAAGATAGGTCATCGCGCGCACCAAGTTGTGCTAGCGGAGCTGAGATGGCTATGTTGGGTGTCTCCGGCACGGAGAACAAGCCCCACAGTGGTGGCTAGGTGCCAGGTACGCATCATCCGAAAGGTCCAGGCTCAATCGGCTCCAGTGACCCAACTTCCGGCATCAGCTGAATCGCCTTGCTTATCAAGATGACGGACAGTCTTGACACCGACGCGGCCTTGATGGCGGTCTCAAGCTTCTGTGTCAGACTAGGCACCGTCTACAAGCTGTGATCCGGCAATGGCAGGAACTTGAACGTAGCGACAAATAAGTTGAAGAAGAGTCTCCAAGCTCTAGATCAACAGCAAATCCTCAGATAGGTGGGTGTCGACAGCATCAAGTAGCACCTCTCCCCGCTAGCTGATGTTAAAGCCGGTGACGCCTCAGACCATGCAGGAGATGTTGTAAGTAATTCCTTAAGAGTAGGAATTCCGCTATGAAGTGCTGCTCACTTTTCTTTACTGAGTTGGGAAGATCATGAATCTAACCTCAGTCTTCCATGTGTCAGTGAATGCCACGATGTTGGCGTATTAGCGCCGCATCACTGTCTGATTGTGAAGGCGACGCCAGCCTGTCCTGCCCGAACGTCCTCAGCAGACGACGTCACCATGAAGAGACGATGTCAGGATGCCCAACAACGGCAGGCCATTTCAGGTGATGGTGTCTCTTTTAAAAGAAGTGATCCACATCGGTGTGCACCCTTTTATGGAGCGTCAGCGGCTACATTGGTCATGGCAGCGCTCAAGGGCCGTGGCGCAGTAAGGACTCGATCCAGGGCTTTCCACGTGGGATTCGAAGATGCCAATCACTCAGCCATTACGCTTCCACGGCGGTGGGTTCGTGAATACATGCCATCCTTTTCAAGCGATGAAAAGGAATGGAAACAGCAGAATCGTCCCAAGCATAAAAAGACGGTTTTGGTGATATCCTCGGCCAAATCTTTGCACCCATCTACGTCGGGGAAACGCCAGATGACGGAAATTGAAACCTGTCTGACATTTCAAAAACAGTTCCGCGCCCAGTATGTTTTTCTCCTTTTTCATCTACGAATAGCTGCCTGACTACAGACGTATGCTGCTCACAGTCTCTGCCTAAGACGCGACACAGACAAAGTCGGGCGTGAACTGCTGGCAGAGCAACGTTAGGAGCCGTTTCACTGGGCAAAGGGTTCTTTTGCTGGTTGCTGCGGGGTGTGGGTGTGGGGGGGAGGATATGCGGTCAATGGTGGGAAATTCCCTCTCTCCATTTAGCTTGTTAACATGGGTCCTGGTTGCAGCTGTGTATTATTGGAACCAAGCCATCAGAGTCGCAGCAGACCCCGCAACAGTTTTGGGCTCCAGTTTCCATTTCCCGGAATAGCTTTAGTGGCAATGATTATGTTGCCATGAGCAGGGTCTGATCGGAAAACCGTGAGTTAACGGCTGATCCCAGCACATTCCATCCTCCGATGTCCGGTAATAAGATTAAAGTGATTTATATTAGTGTTTAATGGGACGGTTTTGATCGTCATGGAAAGTTCTGGCAATGCTGATCCCGACGAAGCGGTGTTGGCCACAGCGGGACGGCGCCAGAC